AGCAATGGAAAAGAACGGATCAATCTGGAAAAAAATTTAATCTGACGAGGCTAACATTTAAAAAGCACCTATGCCAGAACCCAAACCTGCAGATATTCTCTTCCTGGAGTCCAAAAGAAAATTACATCTACCCTCGTCAGGGGGGAAGGAGTACAACAATTTTTGCTTCCTTAAAACATTAAACCCAGGAAATTCCTGATTCCAGGATCTCACCTTTGCTATTCCAATATATAAGTCCTCCATTTGCTACCTTTTTTTTTTTTCTCCCCACAAGAAGTACAATTTAAACAAACAAACAAACAAACAAACAGCTTTGCTAGCATTGCTCTATCACAGCAGCAGTACAACTCTGATTCTGTCTAGATCTGTCCCGCACCCCCAATCCCCAGTGAGTGCACTGATCTTGCAAAGACACTCTTCTCCCTCCCCGCAGCAACACTGCTCCGCTGACTGCAGAGCCCCTCGCCCCATCCCTGTGTAACACAGCTTGGCTACATCTGGCATCGGCTGCAAGAAAGAATCCATCTGTTGCGACTTCAAAGAAGATGAGTTAGAGCTCTGTGATTCCTAAAACCCACAAATATTCCACCTTGGTTTGCCTGATTTGTCATTAACATTTCTCATGCCTAAATTAAGAAGGACGCTAAGCCTCAGATGCGTCCTGACAGTGTTGCAGTCGAACAGCTTTTATAGCTTAGCCTCGTTTCCCTCCACATCTCCACGTTTCTTGGTCGTGCCTGTTGCATACAAACACGGAGCAAGCCATCACAAGCCAAATTAATATTATTAGTGTGCACTAACTATTAAGGGGTTTGTGCGAACTCCAATAAAACTAAGCAACCAATTATTTTACCACATCTATGGGGCACTGACCTGTTTGCCCATTTTCCCTGCTCTCAAAGATCCTTCAGCCTGGTACCCAACTCTGTGATGAAGCCTGTTTAGCACCAGTGAAGTTCCCCACATTCAGACTGACAACATTCTGAGCTGAGATGAGGGAATCAAAGTTAAAATCCAGCCCATCAGCATCCATGAGTTCACTGCGGATAATGGACTCCATGTCACACTCCAGGCTCCCATTGAAAATATCCAGGTCCAAGTCACTTGGGAATTTCTCATGTCCCATGACCGGGAGGTTCACGCTAGAAGAGTACAAAGAGGAGCCTGACAGCGGGTCAGAAAGTGTTTGCATAGACTGATTGACAGGTGACTGCTGATGTTTGGTGGATCCCAAGCTGCTGGAGTCACTTAAGCCTATGTTACTGATGGAATTGGACAAGGCACGGCTGCCACTGAGAGAGGAGTTGTGGGACTGGTGCTGGTGATGGGACAGGTTCTGATTGACCAGACCCCCCTGGCTGGACTGTGCAGCAAACGACATCATGGGGTCGTTGCGGAGCATTATATTTCTGCGGGAATTCTGGGCAGACACAGCTGTGCTGGCTTGTGACATGAGTGGGTCAGACTGTGTCATCATGACATCGCTGTGACTAAGTGCATCAGAGGCGAGAAGATCCTGCAGCGTCTGGTTGTTGTAATGAGAAATGGAAGAGAAGGTGGCCTGCTTGTTCTCCTGAATTGTCTGCATGGGCGACTGGCGGAGGGAATTCAGGGACGATGGCCCGAACACAGCGTTGTTGAAACTACTTGACGGGGAACCCAGCCCTGAACCTTTGGAACCATAAGGAAAACTGGAGCTTCTCTGCATTATCCCTCCAGTGGGTGACTGCTGGGAGGGAGGGAGTGTTATATTGTCCAAGAGATCATCCATGAGGTTATCTGTCAGTCCATCATTCAAGTTCATTGTCCCAGCCATATCAGTCAACCTAGGCAACTCCACAGTACATGGTTTGTTTACCGATGGGGACAAGCTCGATGGACTGCTGTACAGCATGGGAGAAAGTGGAGCATCGTCATCTTGAACATCATCTAGTTCGGTGCTTGCCAAAATCGGTGACAAGCGGCCACTGATCGTACTGGCATTTGAATTTGTACGGGAGCGAAAATCTGTCCATGCGTCCAGCTCGTCACTGCTGCGGGATGTGGGACTCCCTGGCCACTTGGAGAGCTGAGAAGGGCTGTCCTCACTCGTCTCCTGGGCAGTCTGCAGGGCTGCCTTTTTCTTAGCCGCCCGCCCTCTGCTCTTGGTGTACTTGTTGCTGTTGTCCATGGACACAGCACGTCTCCGGGGTGCCTTGCCACCTTTTCCACCATCTGGATTGATCATCCACCAAGAGCTTTTCCCAGTGCCTTCATTCTGCACCCTGACGAATCGGCTGTGGAGTGACAAGTTGTGCCGGATCGAATTCTGCAGGGAAGGAACAAAACAAAACATCAAGACCAGCACCCCACTTCTTTTATGACCCAAATCTCAATCATTAAACCAACATCCCATGAAAAAAGCAACATGAATAAAAGCATTGGACCCTTCTGGATATCTCCATGGATTTCTAGAGTGCTGGATTTCAGGAGGACTAGAGTTTGACTGTGGCATGCCAGCATGCTGCCGTAAAGCACTCCTCGAGCTTGAACTAGCTGTGCATTCCTGGTGCCCACCTCTACACTCCTAAAAGCTGCATCCTAAGGAACAGAGTGTGACACAGCTCTATTCCTGCTGGCATGGAGCTAGATGTTTCTCCCTTGCTTTTGACTCAGGACAAACCTCTATGCTATCAGTAACCTTGCCATCAGTTCCCTGAAATAAAAACTGAAAAGGCACAGCAAAAATCTGGCTGGAGGGGTAGTCACACTCATCACAGCCTCTGCAAATGTCTTTTTAATTCTTCATGGGCACGTATGCTGTATACTTGTTACAATAATTCTTGAGAAAACTGCAAGTGCTGTTGCTCCTCTCCCACAGGCACTCTGTGATGACTGAGATATACTTTGTCTCTTGATTAGAGGCACCAGAATTATGCCCGTACTTCAGTAGCTGGTCAGCTGTCCTCTCACTTTGGTATCCTCACAGTCTTCAAAACATGATGTGACACTATGCAACGATATCCCTGTTCCTGTAAGCTGCTGGATACAGAACTGTATAAAGCTGCTGTACACAGTCAGGTATTCCATGCTGTACAGGATGCTACAAAATAGAGTACTCTCTGAGGAGCCTGCGTACAGTCTGCCCTTGCATTCTACCCGCTTGCACTAGTCAGCAACATCTACCATCCAAAACCACGTTGCCTCAAAACGATGACAATCACCTCAGAATGAGAAAGAAGCTGAGAAAACCAGACCATGGTACCCCTAGCGAAATGGCACCAGATTTAAACCAAAATAACTGAGATGGAAATCCCACTCCACACATCCTGCTCATCTTGTGCTTAAAATATGGATCAAAGAAAGGGAAAGTAAATAGTATTTGTTAGTGTGAATGCTTCCAGGTTTGGTAAACAAACGTTCTTTTTTTCCAACGAGGAAGTAAAAAAGATTTTTGGAGCTATCCCACATTCCTTTGAAAAAACCCTTGTGCTATTCCTGCAAGTTCTAAGAGTTGCAGCGCTCTTTTTTATTAAATTTGTGCAATTACCAGGTACACCTATGAAAAGGATAAAATCACACTTGTCCTGTCCTTTAAAAACACGAAGTCAACAGGAGCATAGCATGATCAAATCATCCAGGAGAAGTGTCCTTCATTTACAAAACACTGAAGAAATTCCAGATTTAAACGGGCAAAGACATCATTCACAAGTGCTTCAACATTTGCATCCTTGGGATAAATGGATGCTTGACATAAGTAAACCGGAAATATATTTGATGTGTACAGAAATACAGCCTAGCATTTTTTAAAATAATTCTTTTCAGTATAAAATGCCTTTTTGTCCCTCACTACTGAGTATTGTGGTTTTTGTCAGATTGAGAAATGGAAAACACGCCTGAAGTTCTTCTCACATGCAGACAGCAGACATGGCTGTGATTATCACTTCATGAAAAGAGAAATCATATGGACCACGGTTCAAAATAGCAACTGCTATGTTTTAAACAATTTACAAAAAGTAGCAGATCGGATTCTGCTGACATGATCAAGAGAAGTTCGAGTCAGTGCCTCAGCTATAAACTTGTCCATTTCTGTGGCACAATCATCCCATCAGAATATGGTGAATTGAGTCACACCATAATAGCTTTTCAGTCTAAAGAAGGAAAGAGCTTTTTATTGTTTAACTGATGACATTCTAACTATATTTTGAGTCTGGCAATGGTCTAACTTCTAATAACTAGGCACCGTTGCTTACTTGCTCAGGTTTCTCTCCCTGTAAAACTGGCTGAAGAACTCTTTTTGGTTTTGTTCTGTTTTGTTTTTTTTTAAATAACCTTTGCTGATATTCCACCTTGGACTGCATCAATGCAGGTAGCTCTCATATCCATTCCCCATAACTTTCATGGACAAACACGTGAAAACATCTGCATGGGGATCTCTCCTCAGAAAGAGCTGGCAGCAGGCCGAGGACAGTCAGGGCTAGACCACCACCCCAAGCCATCCAAGAGCTATATAAACCATGCTGTTCCCCACCTAAAAATGCTGGGTATAAGAATACATAGCATCGTGATTCTTGCTAATGAAAAATATATCTTAGAAAACACAGAAAAGAAACACCCAAGGCGGTGTGCACAGTGTACCACACACAGCTTCAGATATAAAAACATTCAGCCAAAACACCAGCAGCTAACAGTTTCCAGCCGGTAGTATTCTCATTAAAGAGCTTATTTCTGATGGTGGTTATCCATAGTATGAAACTTTTTGGCCTAAACCCATGAAAAATCCTAAATGGTAAAACTGTGAGACTGAGGCACCTTTCAGGATGAGGACTCCTGCATGTGTGGATATGTATGTGCACATGTGTAATTTTCTTCTTATTATATCTTTTGCTCAGTGTTGGTTTTACACAAGTAATAAAAGAATGTAATAATCCTTTCGCATTGAAAATTGGTGGTTATAAAAAATCCAAGCAGTTTGTTTTCCTTTACATTTAGCACTATGCCACTTATACTCCTGCTTCTGTTTTATTTTGCTTTTCTTCTGTAGGAAGATTGTTTTCTTAAGCATAATTATGGGCCAATTTATTTTTGTGTACCCTGTATCCACCCTCTGCTCAAACACTGCCTTAAAACCCACTTCTTTCATGTAACCTCCCCCGCTAACCTCTTCGGCAACAGTATCTGAGTTTCTTGGTTTTTCCTTCTGTTGGATGCTCTGCCAAATCAAATTAGGGCTGGATCCTATTATCCTTTCACATGCAAGTTTTGCTACAGAAGCCACAGGGATTGACAACTCACATCAGTAAAGGCTGTTGCACTGTGCTACCAGGTTGCAATCTGGATGGAAATAACTGTATTTTCTACCTGTTTTCTGAGCTGTCAAAAAATATTCCTATCTGCTTAAATTATAGGAAAATATCTTGGGACAACTGTTGCTCACAACCATGTGCACTACTATTATATGTCCATGCAACAAACCAAAAAGGAGGCAGGGAATCAAAGAAAACACAGTTTATCATTTGAAGCCACTGCTGATGAAAATAATGGGGATTTGTTTTTGATTTATGTGGGAGATGAATTAGGCCATGATGATGGAAACATAACCCATTTTTCCATGCCAAAATGCAATGAGAAACTTTAACAGATCTATAAAGGAACTTCCATCATCTGTCCTGGAGACCATACATATACAGGATAGATGCAAGCCAGGCTGCAGACAGCTCAGATACCACCGATGGGTACAACATATGGACTGCACATAAGCAGAGCAGAAAAGAAACATGATGAGCTCCTCCCTTTATTAGTGTTACTATTTATACTGGTCTTGAAGAATGCCATTCGCTCTGCTAAGAGCCAGAAGACTGAGGTTCCTGCAGATAACATCAAGAGCACCATGTACTGCCCTGAGGCCAGACAGCTGGGTCCCAGTCCCCTTCAAAAGTGGTCCTGAGGGGAAGAAGGACTGTCTGTGGAGACAAGGAAGACCCAGGGCAGAGGAACATACGTGAGGCAGGGAGGAAGTGGTATGAGCAGAGGGTAGTGCAGTGCCACAGCCAAGTGGGGCTGCTGTCCTACCTTGGCTTAGGCTGATAGCACCAGGAGAAGGGGTGAGCTGGGTGCCCATAGTAGCCAGGGCAGCAACATGAGGGGTTACAGCACTTTCCCCAAATTCAAGGTCAAAGTTTTAGCTTTAATAAATATTGATCCATTGTACCACATTTTATTCAGTTAATACTCCTTGAGGGATTCAGCCACATTTGCACCAAGAAAGCCCCCAGAGATCAGCTACCATGTCCTACCACGTGTGTCTCTTGATATTTTTTAAGACTGCAAAAGGGTAAGCTGACAGAGGACACTCAAACATTTCCAAAAGGCTATATCCTTCATTTGATACAAACAACTGAACCAGTCTCCCAGGGAGGCTGAGACTGCATGTTATTTCAACACCCAGACCCAGTCAGGCAACGGCAGCAAATGCTTGAGCCTTTAAAATGGAGAAAACTCCCCTTCCCTGTGCCTGTTTCAGCCTCTTCCAAGCCATGTTTACCTTGTGGAGTCCATCCGCTAACTCAGACACCAGCTGCAAGTGCTTCCACTGCAGTACAGAGTCCTTTTTGTCTGGAAGCAACATGTGGTATCAATTTATCATCCTCAACAACGCAACAAGGAATCCACTCACTTAGAAAAAAAAAATAAAATGAGAGTTGTGTAACTTGACTCTTAAAAGTCCCCGCCTTTTTTTTTTTTTATTAAACAGCCAACTAAAGACTAGCAAGATGAGGTGCAGCTGGTGGCTGCTGAGTCCAAGTTACACACTGGTCTGTTTTTCTTTCAGTGTTTTGTAGTGACTGGCAAATTTGTTATTTCAGATACGGGCTCCTAAACTGTAAATTTAGGGCTACAAATCAAAAGCAGTTGTTTAACAAGTGGGATACTAGGATATGGTGGGAGAAAAACGAACATTATTTGCAGATCCATAAATGCTGCTAATGCTCACTTGGGAGAATAAGACTTTATTTTATACTGTATTAACATATTTAATGTTTTAATTTCCCCATATGAAATTTTCTGGTAGCCACACAGTAGCGAAAGGCATCAGATCTAATATCACTGAAAAGAAACCATGAAAATAACTCCAGCTTATCAGACTCTGGCTGACCAGAGGGAGTCTGTCTTCTCCATGGCTCTGCTTGCTCATTTGAATTTCAGTTTCCAGCTTTCTCAAAATGTTGTCACACAAATCTCCTTCGGGGTGAACACCCTTACAGATGGCTTCCACCAAATTTTATTTCTTTAAGAAAAGCAAAATGAAACAAACAACTTCTTTTTTGC